AAAATTCAGTGTCTTGTTACGCTTGTAGCAAACAGAAGAATTCTGGCTGGTGCTCCGCTAAATTAAATCCCTCTGTCATTATTCGTCATAACAGAATCTCACATTCTCCCGACCAGACAGTTCGGATGTAGTTAACTTGAGACCGGCATCTGACAGAGAAAGTAAGAATCACATCCAGGCGTCACAGAGGACACGTAGGTGCCTCGTCCTCCCAAGATTCCCTGATCCAGCACTCAGGAGCGCCCCCTCGTAAGTGCGGCCCCTAAAATTTATACAAAATGTATTTCCTTTAACACATATATATCACCTTACAATATAATAATAATAATAATAATAATAATAATAATAATAATAATAATAATAATAATAATAATAAATATGAGAAATTGTTGGAAATAAGAAGCCCCGTTGATTTACTGCCCTAGGCCCCTTGTTTTCTTCAAAGAAGTGTAGGTCGAAAATTATGGTCATGGAACCTGTGACCAATGGCAACTTCTCAGCTACTATCCCACATGAAATCGATCGTAATAATAATGTTGATGGTTTGTTTGTCGTTGTTGTTTTTTCTTCATCATATACCGACTGAGGAGACTCAGGGCATTAACTTGATGGCACTGCAGTGCCAATACTGGGAAGTCCTGTGGTTCAAGTCCCGACGGTGGCAGGATTTTCGACACTAGTTAGATAGGCATAGCAAGGCCGAGTTCAGCCGCCGTCTGGAGAAGAATTCCAGCGGCCGGCTACTCAGATCGGTACTTTTCCATGGTTTCTCCGCTCATTAGCTAGCGAATGCCGGAGAAATACCTTAAGGAACGAGCCACGGACCGCGCGCGATCAAGGAGAGATCTCTTTCTTGTCCTATCCTCTCCCCTTACACACACACACACACACTCACACACACACTCACACTCACACTCACACTCACACACACTCACACACACACTCACACACACACTCACACACACACTCACACACACACTCACACACACTCGCACACACACTCACACACTCACACTCACACTCACACACACACTCACACACACACACACTCACGCACACACACACTCACGCACACACACACACACTCACACACACGCGCGTACATACACTACGCTACCGCACTGTCGGGAGACCAGTCTGGAGCTTACGTCGACTGCTCTCCGAATCCCGACTAGTGTGGATAGGTTTCTTGCCATTTGCCGAGCTATGAACGTTCGGTGCTCACTCTACCCACCGCGTGTCGGTCTTATGGACGCATCAAAGGAAGCGAACATTCGCCGAGCACACGGGTTCGACAGATAATGTGGGTATGGGGGTAGCTGTACCCACACGAAAAATTCCGAGTGGGTATTTTACCCACTCAGAATTTGGGGTGAGAGAAACATTCCATAAACGTCATATTCCAGAAATTAACCAAGTTTCTCGGTATTACGCCGACTCAAAACGTATAAGCGATCAACTATGTAGAAAGATCGACCCAACAGTACACAGATTTTACATGTTTATAGTGACATGACCTATAAAATCGATTTGCAAAAGTTGTTCAATATATAAAAAATGCAAAGCGCAGCGCTGTTTTACACTGCAAAAATGAACTGCTAAAGTTACATAAAATAAATGTGATAACAATTTGATGACAATTTAACGATAAACATCACAATTTGAAGAAGAAGAAAAGTTTTGTAACTTTCCCTTCATGTACATTTTTGGTGGGAGATGGAGGGGTTCGGAAACTGCAAACTGCTCCCCCCCCCCTCGAGTCAACTATCCACTCTGGCCCGGACACCAATCGCCTGCGAGCACATCCGCTGCTCGGGATTGAGCAAGCAGTAGCTCCCTACTCGGCGAATGCCGAATGTGTACATCCGCCTTTAGAGGTCGCCCCGGGGCTCGGGAGCGGGGCTGTGCGCTCGGGAGCGGGGCTGTGCCCCGCTGCTGGTAGATACCTGAATGAGGCACCACCGTCTCGCAGACGTGTAGGTCGGTCCCGGCTCTCGCCTTCCAGCGGGGGGGGGGGGTGGCGGAGAACACCGCCACCTAGCGTGATAAAAACGTTCTACTACGCTTATGCTTACGAAACTAATGAACATAGACGTTGACGCGCCCGGATTCCCGAAATAATCAATCAATCTATCCAGAAGGTGTATAAAGCAAACGTTTTTGTGCAAACGTAAATCACGTATAAATCATCCCTGTGCGTGACCTTTGTTTGACGACTAATTGTTTTTGCAGGGCACAGTCTTATCCAGTGCGACTACCACCGAACTTTACATGCAGTGATTGTACCATCCGCCTGATGAGGCAGGCGTCTGAGTGGTCCAGCTCTTACCGCTTCTGGTCGTGCGCAGACGTCGATGTGCGAAGAAGTGAGTACCTACTTTCATCGTTTTCCACACCAATTGTCAAGTTAATGTAAATGTTTAACAGTTTGGACATTCAGCTGCAAAATGAATTGAAAATAAATCTTCGTGACTCATGATTCACGAGTTTGTATTTTTGCTGCAAACAGTTAGTCATTTCCCTCTACATTTCAATACGATTTACTCCGGTGCATAAACGTGCTCAACCTAAAACTAGAAGGGGGACAACTACATTTTTAGGCCCCTCTGGGCCCCTTCTTCTATTAAAGTTTTTATTTACAACTGACATATTTTATCAGTAAATAAATAAAACACACCACAAGGAATATGAAATGATAACTTTAATGAATCAAGCAGGGCGTAATAAATATTTTTGATGTTTACACATAAGGTTGGAGAGGTTTTCTCCCAAATTTTGTGCCAATCCCCCAAAGTGTCAGCATAAAAAGGAGAAAATCGGGAATTTTTAATTAACAGAAATAAAATATTTTAGTGCATAGGGCTGCAGGATCCCCTTAAAAATTTTCAGAGGGTCCCTCTGCTCCCCATGCACACGCTTATGCTCCACTGATATTTCTTCTTCATTCTAGAATTTTAATCATCATGTCTTTGCTCAGAGTGTCTGGTAACAGTTTATGCAAACATATGTTGGTTATATTTAAAAATGGAATAGATGCAGGTGCGGATGCAAGAAACCTTAGGGGGAAGGTACATGTGGGACAAGTGTTTGTTTGTTTTATGCTAAAACTTCTTTGTAGTTATTGTGAATTATCTTCTGTATTATAGAAAATACCATAGTATAATAATTTAGTGAACACATTTGTTTAGACAAATCACTTTCAAAGTTATATATAATTTAAAGAAATATATATTGAAAAACAATCTAGACCTAAGGAGGGGGGGCACGTGCCCTAGGCCAGTCTCTTGGATCTAAACCTAGATATGAGGTCGCATATAGCATTTAGCATACATTCTCAAGGAAGGAGGGACTAATAAGTAAGAAAGATTGTTGCTTGGAAATGGAAATATCAAAATGACCCTCAGCATGGATTCAGGGAATATTGATTCTTCGGGAAACTATTACATATAAAATGATAAACACCCCATGACTTGTGAAATTTTGTAAATGTGTTGTAAGAAATAACGAAAACTGCTTTTGTGAAACCAAATTATATCCACAGTAAATCATATAATTAGTCATGCTATATAAAAGGCTTTGTGAATTTGAGTCATAAAAATTGCTTCCCAATGTATACGTATTATTTTGTTTGTGAATAAGCGACAGTACATTGAGTATTATGTGACAAAAACACAATAAACTATACACAATAATTTATAAAAAATAAATAATAACACAAGCTTGTATTCTGATGTATAAAATTATGAAGCATCAGTGAATTCCATTTCAAATTAATTAATTAATTCTTCTAATAGTTTAGCTCATGACATAGTGGTCAGTCTGCAGTCCTTCCACTGCTGGTGCCCAGGCTACAAGTGGAATTTGTGGTAGACAAAGTGGGTTTGTGGCAGTTTTTCTCGGGATACTTCCATTTTCCCTGCAAGTAGGCATTCCACCAGTATGCTCCATTAATCATACCCTACCCTATCCTATTATTAACCATAATTCCGCTAAGGATCCAAGGGTCATGACAGGGTCTAGGTAGTAACCACGGATCGAGCTGAAAAAGGTTGTGGCTACCTCAGTGGGTTAATGATAGGTAGGGTCCCAGTATAGAAAACTAGAGAGGGGAGAAATAGTGGGGGACGCCCCCTCTAAAGAACCTAGTTAAGGATGTGAGGGAGTGGATGGAATGTTGGAGGGTACAGCTTCATTGAAGCCCCTAAGGGGAAAAACAGTGTTAAGTTTAGATTTTTTACTACCTTGTTTCTAATTAACAATCAATACAGTTAATAAATTTATACTGAATTTGTGATGTTATTAAAAATTAAAAAATGAATAATTATACAAAACCTCCATTTGTTATTTGTTCCTTGGGAAAACACTTGAATTCTACAGTTTCACTTGGAATATCTAGGTTACCCTTCACATTAGCTAGGTTTTGAAAAATTTAATTTTGAGGCCAAAAATATTGAAACTGTTTTTGAGGTTCAAAATTTCAGAGGTTTTAATTAAATTTGGATCTATACCTTATAAGGGCACTTTTCCCTAATTGAGCAAAACATTCAAAGAAAATAATTTGGAACAATTTTTGAGAAAAGTTTAAAAATGTCTTGGAGGCATCATGAAAGGTTACCCCAGAAATGAAAGAGATCTTATTAAAATTTGCAGGCCCTCGAGTTCAGCCAGATCAATTATGAAATATCCATTTTGATGAAAATGCTGTGTATAGTTTAGGCCTCAATATTATTCACAGACAAAGATTTGGAAAGAGCTTTTTCAGTATTAGTCACTCCCCACATGTCTTTTCCATCAAAATATTGATATCAATTTTTTGTAACATTGCCATATTTCCCTATTCTTTGTATTTGTTGTGCATAATTTTATCACACTATATGAGACATTAAATATGATAATATAATTGTAACTTGATATTTTGCTGAAAGTATTAATCTGAAAACCTTGGAATATCAAATTTAGAGACAAAATTTAAAGTTCTTTTGGTAACTTTAATCTACCAATTCGAGGTATTTGCTCTACAGCTAAAACTGAAATATCTGCTTTTCTAACATTAATAAATTCTTTGTTTCTCCTGTAAAATTTAGAAAAATTAAGATATGAGGTTTTCATTGCCTAATGGCAATATCATTACTTTGCAGAGAATTTATCCAGAGTGTGAGCCTGGTCAACATTTAAAATAGTCAATTACATGATTCTGTTTTTTAAATGCTTAAGAAAAGAAATATAGTAGTAATATTTAGCACAATTTATTGTCAATTAAAATGTATGAACAAGTAATTTCTGTGACATTATTTAAGACTGAAAAAATCTGTTTATTGAAAAGTGATTAAGTGATGCCATACTCCTTAACAGACAGTTGTTTTGATATTAAACATTCCTGTAATTTTAATTAATCCTCAAAGTGTTTTATTAAATTTATTTTGTGATTATTGACAGAGAAAATCTTTTTGTTTTTAATATTGAAGAAGGTTTTTATTTATTGCAAAATTTTATAAAATGGAAGTTTTAAATAAAGCTAAAGGTGGAAAGTGTAGACGATAGTCACCTGATTGCTGTCTTTTTACAGAGTCAGAATACAAGGAAAATTGCAGTGGTCATGGACGTTATCTACTTGCCAAGTGTCTCTGTGACAGACTGTATTATGGACCTCGCTGCCAGTACCGAGATGAATGTTTGGCTGACAAAGACTGTAATGAACATGGGAAATGCATAGATGTTCGTGCCACATCTGCACCACGTAAACAATGCTTCTGCAATGTGGGATGGTTTGGCCCTTCATGTAGTCAGCGTGAGTCTTTAGCATTTCCTCTTTATAAATTTATAAAATAGTGATAATAGAATGAAAATTCAGAACAAATGTTGAGCATTGAAGGTAATTATGTTAACAGTTTTGGTTTCTACATTAGAATAAATTTTTCTAGATATATACAAATAAAATTGTACACAATTTTACTTAAAAAATACTTTCTTTACTTGTAGATTTGTTCTGAAAAAGTTGACTAATCTAACTTACATTAATACAATGATTTAAATACATTTTAGTAGAAGTGAAATGAATATTTATGTTTATTATTTTTGTGTTCAATTCTTTCACACTTTTTTTTCTTACATTAATTATTGCAGGTTCTCCTATCAAATCTACACAGGTAGATTATTCTGCTTATACAAAGCGCTCCTTGAGTGACACCTTCACTCTCTACTGGCGTATCTTGCATGAGAAGCAAGAGATTGAAGTAGTCATGGTAGCCAATGGCACAAGTTATGTAGGTTTAGGTTGGCGTCCACACTCCTTAAATGCCACTTGTCGCAACTTTCCAATGTTGTCTGATCCTGTAGACACATCACGAAGTTTGCCTGATGCTAGTAAGGGAGAGCCAAGTGGTGTTCCAGAGCCAAGCAGTGAGCCTGAACCGAGCAGTGAGCCTGAACCAAGTAGTGAACCAGAACCCAGTAGTGAACCAGAACCTAGCAGTGAACCAGAGCCAAGTAGTGAGCCAGAACCTAGCAGTGAACCAGAGCCAAGTAGTGAGCCAGAACCTAGCAGTGAACCAGAGCCAAGCAGTGAGCCCGAACCAAGCAGTGAACCAGAACCAACAAGTGTATTAATACCTACAAGCACATTAAAGCCAAGCAAATCAGAACCAAGAAGCAGAAGTAATTTGATTAAAAATTCTGAACCTACTGCAGCACCTGAACCCAGTAGTGAACCAGAACCAAGCACTGTACCTGAACCTAGTAGTGAGCCTGAGCCAAGTAGTGAACCAGAACCAAGCACTGTTCCTGAACCTAGTAGTGAGCCAGAGCCAAGTAGTGAACCAGAACCAAGTACTGTACCTGAACCAAAATCTGAGCCTGAACCAAGCAGTGAGCCTGAACCAAGCAGTGAGCCTGAACCTAGTAGTGAACCTGAGCCAAGCAGTGAACCCACTCCAAGTGCTGAACCAGAGCCTACCAATACACCACCACTTAGTACTGTAACATCCCGAAGTGTTTCAACGAAGGCAGTCACTCAGATACCCCGGACCACTAAGGCTCCTCAGAGTACTAACAAAGTTGTATCATCACGAGAAACAAAAACATCTGAAAAACCACTACTTGATGATGCTGAGATAGTGCAAACTAGTGTATCTTACCAAGTCAGTACAAAGAAAGGTAATTTCATGAACTGCATTACTAGTTTTAAAGCTGATTTAACTAATGATATTGATTATGTAAGTTCCAATTTCTGTGTTTGCAGGTCGTGCAAAGAGACAGGCTGTGAAGAAAGGTGAGATATTTTTACAGATTTAACACAAGTATATTTCTTTTAATTGTATTATTAAGCATTAATTGTATTAATATTGCATTTATGTAGTTACTTTCTTTTGATATTGTGATGTATTCCTGATGATTCTTTGACTGATAATATTGTTTCAGACCAATTTTCACCATATGCTCCCAAACATGATTTTAGCTCTATGGATTGTACTGACATTGTTATTGGTTCTGCCCGAGGTATGACAAGTAGGATAGGAGACTACTACACTCGAGACAGGTATGAATGTAATTATGTTGGCTACTTCAAATATATAAGGATTGTAAGTGGTCAATGAAAAGTACTTAAAATTTAACATTTCACAAAATAGATTCAATGTGACTGTATTTGTAAAGATTCAGAAAGTTCATTGTAATGTCATTACTTTTTAACATTCGCCAAACTTGATGACATCTAAAGTGTACAATATTTTATATTCAGATCTACTCCAAGAGTTGACACATTTTGGGGTGGCAAAAGTGATCTCACTGCAGCAATGGGTTTTGAGGCTGATGGTGTTACAACAATTTTGTTCCGAAAGAAACTACAAGGTACATTGCAGTTTAATTGAAAATTATAAATTGTTATTTTATGCAAAATAGAAGTGATAGTAGCTGTTATTTTTACATTTTATTTTCTTCAATTTTATGAATTAATTTCTTAAACTACGTGTGTTTTTAAAAAATGCAATATGGAAGAAATTAATCAAATAAGTTTTAATGAAATATTGTTACCATTAATTAATTTTTTTATATGCAGCATCTGAACAAACTGATCATTCAATTGAGAAAGATATAATGCATGTTATATGGGCCCAAGGACAGCAAACAAATAATTATGTTCATTTACCAAAGTCTGGATTAGAAAAAGATTCCGCAACAGTAAAAGACTTTTATAGGGATGATGAACTTAAATATCATGGACATGGTGAACAGCGAGGGAAAACTGTATTAAATTTCTTTGGTAAGAATGGAAACAATAAATAATTACACTTATTTGTACATTTATGGTTAAAAATGTAATTGTATTTTAATTCTAGATGAAGCAATTTATCAGACACAGACATCAGTTGTCCAAGATACTTGTGGAGGTCATTGGCAAACACCCCAGGATTGTTCACCAGATAAATTTGATTGTGAATATTATGCAAAATGGGAGCATATTCCAAAGACTGACGATATATTATTTACAATTAAAACAAAACACACAACTACATGGACTGGAATAGGATTTTCTAATGATACAAAGATGGTGAGTGCAATTCAATACTATAATTTGTTAGTTAACACTATATTATGTTACACTTCTTGTATTTAATTGTATGCTCATTAAATTTTTCAGTCCCAATCTGATGCCATATTGGGATGGATAGATAATTTGGGACTTTTCCTCATGGATGTGTGGATAAAAGGTTATATTCAGCCATCATTAGATAGTGATCAAGGAATATTCAATAAAACAGGAAGCCTTACTGATGGCATTACAACTCTTCAGTTCTCAAGAAAGAGGCTCTCTAAAGACAGAGAGGTATGGAATATTGCTTTAAAAGGTGTAATAAATGTATATAATTAAATGTTTCTAGATGCAAAAGGACTGATGAATGAATGTTCTCCCTTGACTCAACTTGCCAATTTTTAGGCACTTTTGAGTGAAATAAACATAGTCAATGCAAAATCCGAAGCTAATTAATGAAGTATATAATCCCATCTTTATTCTTTTCTTTTTTTTTTTTGTACTAAAGTGTACTTTCCAGATTCTTTTTGAACAACAAATTGTGTATAATTCTTTCCCATGTTTTTTGCTCTTCCAACCCTAACATTTTTTGTTGGGATGATAATTCAGTCTAACAACTCATAATCAATTATCTAAATGTTTTTTTAATGAAACTAGAAATTCCAGAACTTGCCAACCTAGATAACTCTGAGGCTAACAACTTATGAAGACTCAGTGCCTTTGTCAGAAGGGTTGTAGGTTTAAATTCTACCCTAGGCATCAGTGTATGTTCTTAATCTTTTGTATGTCTGTTCATGTGTGTATTATCACAGAGAGCCTTGTGTTTTGCGGATCCAAGATCCAAGGAGTCTGCTAGTGTTTTATTCTCTAGTGTTTGGTTTAAGAATCACTCCATTAGAGTATAGAGATGAAAAACGGCCTCACAACAATTTTGTATGAAATTACCTCTTACCCTGTGATATTATAATGTTTTCAATGTTCAGTCCATTATGTCTTTAATTGATTCTTATGATTGTTCATTTGACAATGACCGATTAAAAACTTGTTGATTGGCCCTTTAATCAGTATGTATGAAGATATGCAAATAGAATACTCAATCAACAAAGAGAATCTGCCATAGTATCCTGTTCTTGTAGTAAAACATTTAACTTGAGTTGAATATATGGTACATAACTTATTTGATCAAAATTGATGTACGGCAAATACAACTCTTATAGAGTCAAGAAGTACTATTTTCGTTATTTATGATCTTAAAGTTTTCACCTAATCCTTTATTTTCTACTTGTTCTAAATGTATCAAAGAGCAAAATATAATGACTTTTTTCTAAAAAAGGATTTGAATATGGAAGTGGGCCATTTTTCTTCAAATATTCATGAATTGCATGTGTTCAGAGAAAGTATTTGTTGTTTTCAATAGTGCAACATCAAAGTGAATATTATAGAAATCACTTATGCATGTATTTATATTTTAGCTCTATCATAAAAACCTCTTTAATTAATTTGTGAGACCTTCAATTTACATTGATGTTTAACAAACCTTTCAACATTCTTGTTTCTTCAAAAAATACTGAATAAGAGTCCTTATATTGTACGTGTCAAGCATATAAAGATATAAGCTGAAATATTTCAATTAACCCTTTTCAAATAGTCACATAACTCTTTTTAGAACAAAATGCATTCTACAAATAAATCACAGAACTTTTGAAATTTGTTATTCTTTCCTAATCCTTATTCAACTTTTTCACTTTTCTAATAATTATTCAAAATGTTTACAGAAATATTAATTTCCTGATGGTTATAATTATTTTAAATATCTAAATATCGACTTGTCAAGATATTTTGAAGATCTACTTAACAATAAATTATGTTGCATCAGTATTTATGCACACACAAATGTCTTTCCTAAATGACAACAAATTTTCATATCAAGTATTTTTCTAATATAACCAAGTTTAAAAAAAGGATTTCCCTTCAAATATGTTCGTTTTCAATAATGAAGTCATAAATACTTGACAGAAATATTTAATAATATTTCTTTTTACAGGATATTTCATTTGAAGAAGGTAAATGTTTCTATTTCATTTTTCCTGTTCGTGGAGGAACATACCAGAGAGTGAGTAAAAACATTCGCAGACATGAAGTTACACCAACTGTCTCAGCAGAACGAGTCTGTATAAAACCATGTCTTTATGGTATGTTTAAATTTATTCTGAAGAAAACATTCTATGGGGCTCAAGTTTATTGTAGATTTAATTTATTTTCATATTCTTTTCAGTGGAAGATAAGAGACCAGAAACTCCTGTTCCAATTAATCCCCAAATATCACTCAATATGGAAGTAAAATTGCTTAATTTAGGCGAGAGTTTCCAAATACCAGATCATGGGTCTCAAGATTTTAATGCATTGGCAAAACAAATAGATAGCAGTTTTAGTAATGCTTTGGATAAACTACCTGGATTTCAGAAAATTGAAGTAGAACAATTTAGAAAGTAAGTATAAGTATGCGAGTATATTCTGCCTCCATGCAACATATACCCAGTTAAAGAATAAGATTTAGCTGTCTGTACGCCAGTTTTAAAACAATAACTGTTTATTTATTAAACACATCTTAAATATCTCTGTTATATTTGTATCAAGAAAAAATCATAATATTTCTTTATACTTAATTGCTATAAGATGTAACATACAATTTGAAATATTTTATTGTTGAGAAACCAAAGCAGAATCAACTCCTTACAAGTATCTCATAAATATTTGACAATTATTCAACTATGAATTGTTATCAAGTGAAACAAACCTCTATGAAATGTTTCTCTTTATCTTGTTTGATTTCAGGCTTGCTCTCAATTCTAATAGAAGTACATTTAAAATTATTTAAGTGTCTTTTTGATATATTTAATTAATTAAATTCATAAATATAAGACGTTAACCATTTTCAATACTACTAAATAATGGTAATGCTGTAAACATAAAACAAGAATATTATCATTAAGTCAGCAACTCCATGATGCATTTATTGTCTTCTATTATAATTTCATTGAAGAATTTCAGCATGTTTCACTTTTTTATCTAAAGAAAATTAAATCACTATGCACAACCAATTTAAAAAATGGAATATTTGCATATTCTTATGACCGTTGATAGACTTTAAGTCATTGGGTCCTCAAGTTTATTCAGTTGGTTCATTTCTTCCAGTAGAGAGTTTTCAAATCATATATTATGTATATTATTGTAATTATCTAGTTGATCCTTCCCCCTGCTCCAGAGATTATTTTTGTTACATGCAAAATTTAAAAAAGATAATTTGCCAAAAATTGTATTGTAGTTTTATTCCCATCTTCTTTTTCATTCTTTAATTTTAAAATTCACAATCAGTTAGATGGGAAAGATTTCTTGACAAGAAACCACATTTCTCTGACAATATTATTGTATTTTTATTGTAAACCCTGGACTTAATCTAAAAAACACAAAAGTTACTGTAGGAATTTTGACAGCTGTGAAATTGATAGATCATTTGTTGAATATCATTGTCAAATTATAACACTTTGCGACATCAAATAGAAATTCACATGATATTCCTTGCCCTTTTCGTTGTTACATTCTTTAGGTTTTAGCATAATTTCATTCTTTGTACCACTGCACTTTTTGCTTTAGGTCTATTAAAACTATTCACAATAATTGTTTGTTGCTGTAATAATATTCATCTTGCATAATCTTTATACTATGAGCTAAGAATACATTTTAGGGCTAACAATAATTTTTTTGTTTCAAATTGAGATACGTCGCGTGTTCAATGTAAAAAGGGAATTTGATTGTGAGATTTATGTGAAAATTTGGAAACATTTGTTTCAAGATTGTGCTTGTATACTTGTAGTTATTACCTATGAAAACTTTTATTATGAAAAATTTACAAATTAATACTCTTAATATCTAGAACAAATATTTAGAAAACTATCAATACCGAAGCAAAATCTCAGTTGTGACTTACAAATGAAATGACCAGTATTATGTCTATTAGCTTTAGTGTCATTTTCAATTTGAAGGGATTCTTCATAATTAATATTTCCTTTATTTGATTAGAAAAATAACATATTAGTTATTAATTTGAAAGTATAAAAATACTTTAAAGATAATTAACTTTCTTCATCAGAGATTACTAAACATTAATTGAATAAAAGTCACTTATAGCACTGTTATTTTCAGTTTTAATTGAATATGCTCATATACACAGATTATAATAAATATGGTTCTTAAAAAAGCCAGCATTTAAATACGTATTTAGGGACTATTCTATCCTTAGCAGCGAAGGGGGTAGGTTTTATTTGCTTCTTTCCCCTCATATTGATTTAGTTACAGAGAATTGGTAAACCTTGTTTATCACATACCAGATGTGACATGGGAAATGAAGAAAAGACAATTATTGTTCATAGACTTTTTTTCAGTCTCCTATGCATTGAAATTACCAGTGATAAAATTGAAAATTCTGAATTAAGCAGGATATAATGGAAATGAGTGAAATAAAGCATTTTAATTAATTTGGCATATACAAGCAATACAATGTAAAATTTCCTAAAATGTTCTTCCAAGCTTTGTGAGGGAATTGTCCTTAAGCATATTTCTAAATTAAATTGTTTAAATTATGAACATTTAGGCCAATAAGTATTCCAATGAGCATCAAAGAGAACCAAAATTATAGTACAAAAACAATATTTTTTTCTGCCTAAATCAAAGAATTTGTTTTATTATCTATTTTCTATTTGCAGAGAAAGTGATGGTGTTGTAGTAAAAATGAATATGAAATTGGATAAAGCTCAGTTTGAGAAAGAACAACCTATTGATGAAACCTCTGTAATTCTTGAAGAAGCTTTGAAAAACACAGTATCAAGTGGAAAAGTTGGTATTTTAGTAGTAGATCCCAAGTATCATGTGGTGGATGTACAAAAACGTAAGTTGAGGATTATAGAACATGAATATAACATTTCATTGAAATGAATATTTATATTTTATTCATAATACAGTTACAGCTGATAAAGCAGATCCTTCAACAACTCAGACTAGTTCATGGCTTTCTCCCAACAAACTATATGCTATTCTTGGATGTGTTGGAGCTCTAGTACTAATAGCAATTATCCAAGCTCTATGCACTGTCTACAGATCTTTCAAAAACCCTAAGCCGTACCATAAGGTATGTAGAGTTCTCATTAAAATTCAGGATTCATCAAATAAATTAAGGCAGTATTTGCAGTTTAAAAATACAGTATGCATGATGTTTGGAATTAGAAACAAGATATATGTAATATGTGCTATTTATAATGAAATTGCTCTCTTAATATGTAATTTTTGACTCTAAGACACAGCAATTTTCCCTAATCCTTTACACGCTTTATATGATTGCATGACATGCATGTAAGTAGCGCTTTGCATACATGACAACAGAAAGTAGAGAAATCTTAAGGTTCCATATGACCTCACACAAGATGCTTCCAAGCATGTGATTAGAACTCTTCTACCTACACCTGTAAGTCTTTTATTCTAAGTCCATGCAAGGTGGACGTGCTGCTTTGAAATTTAGATAGTGTATGTAAATGTTCTGTATGAATTTTTTGTTGAGCCTGTGTAGTAATGTTGAAAGTAAATCAGCTGCCTTTAATGTATTCAATATGTCATGTGCATACCTCTGTCCTAACAGGATCATTTGATACCAAATTCTGCATGGAAAGATTACTCAGCTGCCAATACCAATTATGCCTTTGAAGCATACGAGCCAGAAGAAAAAGCAGCCCCAGCAAGCATGGGCATTGGTTCCTCCACCACATTGCCTAGCAATGGGTCATCACAAAGACCATTAAGTTCAGATCACAACAGACCATTGGTAGCCCTTGATCATGGAGGTCATTTTCCAGACAAACAGCTTGTCCAGCGCTCCATGTACCCAATGAGTGGACCTCCAGAACGTACAACATATTCCCTGCCTAGAATGGTCCACCAAGCTCCTTCTCACCACAATGGATATTATACTCAAGATAGAAACCGTGGGGGTCCACCTCGCCATTCACATGAACTTCAGCCTGATTTCTACTTCATGCCATCACAGAGGAAATACTCAGGAGAAGTAGTGAGAGTGTATGTGGACTACAATAAATAAAGTACCTAATTATATTATTATAATTATGTATAGCCATGTACATATTTTATAACTCAGACATAATCTGTAATGTTTAATGACTCTTTTCTTTCTCTCTCTCTTTTCTTTGATCTACTAGTGATATCTGAGATGCAGTTACCTCAAGCACTCTGTTTAAACAAATGAATAAATGATCATTCAGACTAGAGAAACAAGTTTTCCAGCTAAGCTGAAGAAGCCATGAGAGAAGGCAATACATGTTCGATCAAGATGGTTTATTCAACAAGAACACTCATTTTGTAAATATTCATCATTGCTAACTTTTGATGTGCCACAAAACCTCAAACAAAATACCAAATACATACTGTTTCTGATTTGTTCTATATGATACAGTATTGTGGGAAGCTGCTGGTGCTCCCATGAGAAAAGTACTTTTATCTTCTCAGTAACAATATGTAAATCCCATGCAATGAACCTGAATGATTCCCCAACAGATATTTATACCAAAAACACTCATCAGATCTGTATCATTAATGTCATAAATTAATGTTAAGAAAAAGGGCATCACACTCATACTTTATTTCATCTCTCATCTACTTAGAACACAGTAAATATAATTATGTACCAAAAATAATTGTTCATTTTCATTGTGAACTGATAACTGTACATATTATTGGTCAATGAGTTTGTGAGTACTACAGACACCAATTGTGATTGATATTAACAGACTTTCAATCAGGATTTTTAAACATATTGATAGTCAATATATCAAATAACATTCACTGAATGTCTGTTGCTACCCAAGCAGTGATTGTCACCACATTCCACTTGTTTTGTACTCAAATAGAGGAATTCTATACTAATTACAATAAAAAGTGTAGTACAAAATATTTTTTTGTTTTGTTTTTTGTCCTTGGTAGGTTTCCAAGTCCTAATTGTATGAATATTCAGAACAAATTAACACATGTTTGTTTTTGTTCCTGAAATAATTTATTTTATGAAATTCTAGGGTGACAAATTTCATAAATAGTTTGCAATATATATGAAAATGAATGAAAACATTTTCTGTAATCACAAATTGTATTTTATGTAAACAAATAAGTCAATTCTTATTATTGTCATTATATTATATGAATATGTTGTAATTAATGTAAACAATTTTATGTACTTTTTTTTTCATTTTATAACAAGAAAATGTGTTGTAAGACTATAAATGTATAGTTGGTATAATATTATTCTCATGACTTTGTTAGATTTCATTGCTACACAGTAATTTATTTACATTATCATTTGCCGTCGAAATGTTCATGTCATATACGAACAATGAAATCCACAAACAAACGATAGTCTGTGCAGTGCGTCTTGAACAGCCTTGAATTTCCCGCCATGACAAAATGGCATGGATTGTCCATGCCAGCCATGCGATGTTTTCTATACTACAGTATTCACATTTTGTCTGTTGGTCAAAATGGCATGTCCGATCGACATTGTTGCCAACAGTGTTCGCGTAAAGAAAAGCTGTGGAATCAGTTAATTCGTGAATGAAAATTAAGTTTTAATGTTCTGTTCATGCTTTATAACGACAAAGTGTGTCGCGAGCAGCGAAAACATGTTGGATACATCAACATCAGGAAATAATACACGTTTAGAAAATGTGATGTTTCATTTTTCCTGGGAAAAGTTTTATGTCTGAATGAAACCAATTTCACGAATTGAGAGAACAATGTAAATTGATTTAATATAAATCACAGAGTAAGCGTGCACTTGCAAAAACTGTTTCCTGCTTATTTGTGAGGTCAACGATTCATCAAATGTCTGAATATGCAACAAGCAGACGCGTGGTTTGTGCACAGGAAGTATATGTTTATTCATAGACTGCGACTCGAAGTTCGTATGTGTATGTGTGTGTGAAAGTGTGTACATGTATCTGTGTTAGTATGACGGTGTTGTGTGTGTAAGTACTGATACTAACATGGAAGACCGGATTATTGGAAGTGATTGTGCTGCTCGTGTATTTCATTTTGTGTGTTGTGAGATAATTTGTGACAGAGGGCTGTATTTACCAGAAATTTTTCACTTCCTACATTCGCCATAATTTCCTGAAAGTGTCACGAGAAGTTAGGATGGTGACAGTGCTCTGTACGGAGAAAATGTTTTCTACTAAAGGAGTAATAGCGTCCAAGATGGCTTCAATATAAGTGACGCAGAAGTATTATTATTCCATCATACTAAACACATATCAAGTATGTGTCATAAAACATCAAAAGCAAGGTGGAGTGGTGAGGAAAGTAGTATTAGTGATGAACATGTCCACGAAGAGTGCAATGGAGGAAACCTAAGGCGTAATGAGAACGGTTATTCCGTCGTGGTGAATTACAATCATGATGAGAGTCTTGCCGTCACCCCTGTTTTTCCTAGCTGTTCTGCGATTGAGAAATTACAATCAAATGCATTTAAGTATTATGTACATTGCGGCAGTATACTACAGTACTTAAAGTCTGATATAGTAAGGAACGTTAGGGATGTGTCAGTGGGTTACCAATTTCGTCTCCCTGTCCCGAGATTTTTGACACCTGGAAGGAGGCGTGGCAGAATCTTATGGAGCGTGTGTTTATTGACGCTATTGTTGCTGCCGTGTGTCTATGGGCAGATGCGACCAGACACGGATATAAGTCGTCATAATAAGAGCAATGGTGGTAAGTAGTGCTTCATTTGATACGGCTATTTCTTATAGAGGGAACAGTGGACATTGCAGGGAAGTGTGATATATATTTAAAATGCATTATGCTTATGACGCAAATACGCGTGGAAACAATAGAGGCCGTTTCGTAATTGCTGAACTTGGATTGTTTATGTGCATAATGTATTGGGTTAAATAAGTCCGAAAACGTCAGGAGAGATTATGTTGCACAGCCTGTTTTCGGTGTTGTGTTACATTGCTTATTACGCACGTCATGATTTTACATTAATATTATCCTGTAAATAAAACGTAATACCCAGTTTTGAGAATTGAAAGCGGCATATTTACCACAATAACGCCCTATATTTTGATTTTGCGTCATTTAAATTGGGATGCTGGTGAGAGTAGACTTACCCCCAGAAAAAAATATTGGGATTTTTGAAGTTTATGCCACTTGATCACAATTTCTTGTTTCATAATTTTTTTGCGGATAACATATTTTCATTTTGTCTGTCACATCACTTTGTTTGGAACATCAAAATTTAAAAAAAGTCCTGACTTGTGAAAATTGCGTCATACACTTCAGAATAATAAACATTAGTATTTTTGGGGAATTAATTGTTGCAGAGAAATTGTTGGCACTCATCTCTTCATTTTCTTAAACATATAAATATTTAATTTGTTTACACATTTGTTCTAAAGTTGGATGAAATTAGTTCTTGCTAAATCATTGTGTTTCAAGTAAATCTGATAGAAAATGTTCAAACATTTTATTGTGCCCAAATAATGTAAATTCTTTTTTGTAAATGACAAAATTGTGTGGTTGGGTGTGTATATTTTGGTTGCAAAAATAAAGATTTTCTATAACTAAGGACAGTTAAAATAAATTACTATATGTCTTTGATTGCCTTTGGATGTTGGCTATTCCTCTCTTTCAGTACTTCAGTTTCCTTTTTTTAATTGGACTCGTGTAAAAGCAGGACAAAAATTAGGTATTTAGGTTAGCTGACTAAATATTTTATGTGCTTATAATAAGTTGGCGTTCTGTATTAGACAATGCATTTCCAGTGTTTATCTGTTTTGCAATATACATATGTATGTGTATATAGAAGAGAAAACCATTAGGAATTTGCTGAATCAGGAGAGACAAAATAGGCTCCACATTGTATTTAAATTTTGAGTATGAAATAAATTCGATATTTTTAAAACAATTGTGATTGAGAAATTTAATATACATTTTTTAAAATATAACAAGTAGCACATTTTTCTTGTTTCAAAAATAATGTTGATATAGATTGTGGTCAGAGATAGGTTATGATACTTTTGACAACAAATAAGAAAATAACATTAGCTTCTGATAATTTCTGCAATACTAAAAAAAATGCTTGGGCTGTTGGTAAGTTTGTCATGCAAACTAATGAGAATATAAATAAAAGGATCAATTTTCACCATCTTTGAAGTTGGGTTTATATATTACAAAACTAGCAAGTCAGAATTACATACTGCTAAGATCAACTATGTGTAACAAAAGTGAGATTACCTATGGTTATAATGCACTAGAAATTTGTTGTCATAACCTTAAATATGCATATCAAAACATTTTTGTGTTCTGACGTCCATCCTACCTTGTTGAAAGAAATCAAAATGTGTTTTAAAATAAGCCATAGCTCTTGAGCTGTGTGATTCCTTGTGGTAGGGAATTAGTATTGTGTGACATGACAGCTAACATGCTTGTTAGAGTAGTATCAATGCTGCCAACTGCTGCTGAAAGTGAAGTTTTCCTTTTAGGCATCTGGAGAAATAATGCATTCCCAGGTGCAGTTGATATTAGCCACTTATTTAGCAGCTTAAACAGGATTGAAAGCCTGAGCAGGATTTCTGGGAGATACGAGTGTATGATTGCCAATAACCTGGCTATCCACACTTACCCATATTTGGCCCTGATAAGCGTTTTACAGGCAGCTCTGTTGCTTCAGCTTCCCAAAGTGTTCTGTGCATAAAATAGTAAGGTTTTGTTTTTTAAAATCTTAAAACATTTTGTCATTTCTAACTTCATTGCTTGACACATTTTTGAAGTGAAAACAATTTTTTATACTCGTTAATTTAATGAAGTAGTTACTTTTCTAGGAAATTATAATAAATAATTATGTTGGTAATCATGAATTTCTTTAATTTAATAAAAAAATTTTGTGAAAATAATTGTGATAAAGTTTAAGAACAAAAATCAGCTTTGTTTCAAACATATTTACTGTACAGATATTTACCTTGAAATTCTTTAGGATAAACATTTTACAACATTTAAATAATTTATAATCTTGGGTAGTAAATTAACTTTTTGTATCTAGCAAGTATATTTTTGTATGTATGAATATTATAAATTAGTTTTAAAAATAATTTTTTGCTTCCATTCATAACATCCAAATGAAATATTATTACTTTGAAGAAAATTTAACATTTTACAAGATGCAGTAATTGAACTAGCTTAGTTTTGGATCTTAAATGAGATATTAATCTTAAAACTTGTTGGTTTATCCTGTCATGGATGAGTGCAACTTTTCTGTGATCAATTATTTGTATTCTTTATATTTTGCATTATAATTCGTGGAACTTTGTTTTTACAGTGTGCCAGAGTGTTGATATTCGAAATTCAGTGGATGCATTTGAAAAAAGACTTCGTGGGTGCCGGGTGGTGGAAGGCTTCGTACAGATTCTGCTCATAGACCATGCTGATGAAACTCATTTTGCTAATCTATCTTTCCCGGAACTACGGGAGATAACAGGATATCTGTTATTATATCGAGTAAATGGCCTACGCACGCTTAGCAATTTATTCCCCAATTTGGCTGTTATTCGAGGCTACATCTTATTCCTCAATTATGCACTAGTTGCCTTTGAAATGATGCACCTGCAGGTATGTAAATCATGGTATTCTGACTTATTAAACTTTTCCAAGTTAACTTAATTGGTAGTTATGTTAGAGTAATGTAATATCTAATATTATTTTTTAGTAATAAATATGTTATAAAATGAATGGCAGTATACTTTATCTGTTTATCAGAGGATTTTTTTCTGTTAATTTATTTTCTTTTTTTTGACAAGTTGTTGATAGTAATTAATTTCTTATATTACTGTGGTGGTAGTGCCACATTTTGTAGGACTAATGAAGACTATTAAATTCTAGTCATCAATCCATATGTGTGCATTTTTACAGTAAGTTGGTAGTTTGTTAACCCTTGCAGTTAAGACAGTCACTATGTATGAATTTAAAATACGTGATTAGTATTGTTTGATAATGTCTGTAATATTGAAAAAAATGCTCCTAATTTGATGGAAAATATTAATTTACTAATAATAATCATAATTAAAGAAAGGGTAAGTAACAATTGTTTTTAGAGTAAAACTTATTGGGTAGCAAATATTTTTTTTATATGTCAAAAGTTTCCATAATGTAGTTCATACTGCAAGTACTTTTCTATAAGTAGTCTCCAAAATTATAAAGTTTGCACTGTTGCTGAGGAAGTAAATACACTATTTTGAGATTTAAAAAGCTACAAACAATTTAGTGGTGCTACAACAGCACATATATTTTCATATTATCAGTAATGGTTTTGTAATAACGCAATATTGTAACTTCTGTCCTACAAATAATTCAGCCATCACTTAAAAATCTAGAACAAAAGGAAGCAGGTTTGATTAGCAGGATAAGTAATTTGAAAAAAGAATGTTTATCTTTTGAAAATTGAATTTTTTGCAGTTGAATGTAGTATGTTCTGTTTTCATAAAAAAATAATGTTGAAGAAATTGGGCCTGGCAGACAGGGATTTGTAATCCTGCACTTAGTGTCATGAGAGTAAATTTTCAACTCAGATTGAATGTTATAATTAAAAATCAGATCTGTGCCATATTATTTGTTCTATTCAAACAAAAAATAGAAAGAAAATATTTGGTGCCCTTAAAAAAAAAATTATTTACATTTTTACATTGTCACTATTTCCCTCAATTACGCAAAATCTACTTGTAATTTTTTTTGGAGGGGAAGGACTAAACATTCTTGAAAGACTAGTTTTGAAAACTAGGTTTCATTAAAAATCTTCAATAATGTTGGAAAGGAGTTAGTTGAGAAAAATGTAAACTTTTGCTATTTTCCAACATGTAGTTGTATTACAGAAAACAGAATCTTAACCATTTTGATAAATAGATATCGGTCTATTTGAACATAAAATTTAAAGAAAAAATGTTTAACAATGTCTGAGAAAATTTTAATAATGTCCTCCGAGCTTCATTTAAATCACTCCTTCCCCAAATTAAGTATACGTTTCAAAATCAAGGGACAGCAAATCTTCAATATTTATGACAATATATTGTTTTCCGCAGCATTACATAACTCTCCATATGGAGTATGTGAAGAAAAGTAAGAATAAATAATGTAGTTTAGAAGTGTTCCTTGTAATCTAAAAGTTTTAAAGAAATAGCATTGCAAAGATTTTTCAACCAACAGATTTTAGAAGTAAATTCAAATTTTATTCTTACTTTTTGTTGCTTGGTATATTATTGTGACAATTACTGTGTCATTATAATTCTACTACACCATAGTTGACTGGAAATGGTTGGAGAAAAAGTGGGATTGCATAGAACTACAGGAAGAAGTACTACAGGAATTGTGCTTCTCTTCATTGTACGTCACACAATTTTAAACTAGTTTTATTTATTTATTTTTTCAACATTAAATAAAATTAAATAACATATAAACTGACAAGAATACTGCTTGGAAAGTCTCCATGGTAGGAACTGTGCACATCATTAGGAAAATTAAACGAAATACAAGGAAATCTCTTTATGAGGGAAATACTTGGAACTGACTAAAGGGTTGAGAGGTTTTGATGAAACAAAAGTACTCTCCAGACCTAGATAATTGGCTGCTATGATGAGGTGTCTGTCCAGTGAAGTTTCACTGTATTGCTTATGTGTTGCAGAATGTGTGGTGGTAATGATGTGTGTATTTGATTTTTTTTAATCAGGAGATAGGGTTATATTCTTTGACTGACATCACACGTGGTAGTGTACGTTTGGAAAAGAACCCTCAACTCTGTTATGTTAAAACTATTGACTGGGAATTAATTGCTGATGATGGAAAGGAAGGCAACTATATAAAGGTGTGTAAATATTTGAGAGCATTTGTTAAAAATTAATATGGATTAAAATAGATATTTGTTAGAACCTTTTTTTTCCACATTTTATTTAATTAAATATTTTCTTTTTATTTAAATTTTGAATCTAGAATAACCGAAGAGAGAATGAGTGCCCTCCCTGTCCTAATGGAGATCAGTGTCCAAAGAAGGCTGGAGGAGGGCCCCTCTGTTGGAGCCATCAGTACTGCCAAAAAGGTGAATATTTTTTATGCTTTGCCAATCTAATGTATTATGATGTTTAAATTTAAAGTCAAAATTTAAGTAGTAATGCATTGTTGTATTAGGTCATGGCTTGCATAGGATTATGACATGAAAATACATTTTTTCTAGTTTTAAATGTGGCTATTGCATCATTGCAATTGTTCTTACCACAACAATAAGCATGATTTACGTATTTGTATTTTTTTGTTACATCAATAATGACAAGTTTCTTAGTCTTATAATTTTGTATTTTTTCTTTGCAGTTTGCTCAGGGTGTAATGGCACTTGTGATGAAGAAGGTAATTGTTGCAGTGAATACTGCCTGGGAGGTTGCAGTGTTCAGAATAGAAATGATTGTTTTGTGTGCCGCAATTTTGTGATTGATGGAAGCTGTGTGCGAAAATGTCCCTCAGGTTATTATGAGGTATGTTGTAGGTGATAATAATTATTGGATAGTTTAAAGAAAAATTTGGGGAATTATTTCTAAGCAACTCATTGAAAAGTCCAGTGCAAGAAATGGGAATAGGAGGTAGCTAACAAAGATCAACATGTAATCTACCATATTTTCTTCCTAACATTGGTTGGGAATGAGAACCTCTGACTTGCCTTTTTTTTTTTTTAACTACTCATTAAAAATGCAATGGATTTGTGCCCACGACATGAAATCGTTTGTAATTAAAATTTATTCATTAAGGTTTCTGTGATAAGCAATGAAAATATTGATATGACATTAAAACAGACAAATTTGTTATCGGGTAGACTTCATCACCACCACCATCATTATTAGGTGTTTATGTCCACTAAGCCTTTCGATTCCCTGCTCTCAGTTAATACCACGGGTGTTTTAGACCCTAGAGTCCAGTGACTCTCACCTCCACTCCCTATCTCTGCGGTGGTTCATAAGCTCATTGTGGCCAAGCACTTACTCCTACCACTTGTGTGACTCATAAGCCTGTGGTGGTGCTTGAACCCTTTTACTGGTAGGAAGGTTTGGTGGTGGCCAGATGGGCTTACGTTATTGCTCTTAACCCTTTAACTGCTATGAGCATGCCTGAACATGTGGCAGGATTCATGCCGAACATGTTCTTGTTACTTGCAATGCCCCAGTACTATGGATGTTCACTTATGTTCTCACTGGTGTTTGGCTTCTTTCATTTCCGCAAGTTTGTATATTATGCTTCTTTAACTGGGACACCATCTGGGGTTGTCCTAAAGGTCTAAGGCTTCATTCCATTTAAAATAGGTAGAAGCTAGGGTCACTTTTCTTGGATCAGGACTGCTTTTGCTGCTGACAGCATCATGCAACTGCGCGAAGTGCTCAACGCAACTGGCCGCTTGTCTGGCCAATCAGCCAGCACAGCAGCATGCAGCAATTACCAGTCAAAAGGTCAGGGAGAGGCCTGTTACGGAGATGGTGGTTGGACTGGGCAACAGCTCTCCACATCCTCACCCCTATCCTCACAGCTCTTGGTTACAATCGTAACATGTACATTGTGGAGCTTGATTTTTTAGAATAGGCTTTAAAAACTAATTTATATGTTTACACCATACTAAGGTAACAATGATTCACAGATTTAAAGTGGTTAAAATTTTCTACATTTTTAACAAACATTTACATCAGGGTATTTAATTTTTTTTTTTTTTTTTTTTTATTATTTTTTTTTTTACCCGTCAACATTTCAACTGGCTTGGAGTCCTCATTCCGAAAATGTACTTCTACAATCTGTCTGCATAATGTCATATCAATTATTTTATTAAATCATTCAGTCAAAGGAGAAGTTGTGGCATTATGAACCCTTACATAGGAACATGATTTATCATCCCCTTTGTGGGAAAATGCATTTATGTGAGGTTGGTTAAATAGAAGAGTTGCTAAAAAGAAGGTTTTGTCTTCCAATTTGTTGTTATTAGAAAACAAACTTGGAAAAGAATCCAACCAATGCAAAATATATAAACAAAGAAAAGTTATCGTAAATGTACAGTTAGTTTTCCATGCTATAAGAAGTAAATTTGTTTTTTGTAGTTTAGAACTTCAAGAAATTTAGGAAAAAACAAAATATTTATTACTTACTTTACAAATTCTTACTTTTTATGTGATATTCGGTCAGCTTTGGTTGTGACTTTACGTGTCGTCTGTTATACAACACTCAAATTGTCAACCAGTGTAGGTGTCTGAATGTTTTTTTTAGTTTAGATCTTACTATTGTGATGTTCTTGCTTGGGGTTTAGTTGTCATATTTAAAGGTGTGGGATTAGTCTTGAAGCCATTTTTATTACTGTTAAAGGTATGTATTATGGTAATTGGGACAAGAAAGTGAATGTGTTGGGTTGAGAGAAATGATTTTGGTTATTTGGGCCTGGAAGAGTGGTTTGGGAGAAGAGTTTACAGTGGAAGACAGTACAAGAGTGGAATCTGTCCATTCATCTGACATTGTAGAGGAGGGAAATGACTACACTGAATACCATTTCGAGACCGACTTAACAAGCTTTTCGACAGGCAGCCTCCGCATAAAAAAATTACATTTGTACTTCATGAAAGAAAGTACACTAGACAACCAGTGAAACTAATTTACTAACACCAGCCCAACAAATTTCTGTTTGGAATAATAATTTGTTTGCATTAGGCTACCCAATGTTTTCTGAACTATGATGTGTAAATGGCTTCACTGCGCAGTGTCTCCTTTCTTGTGTGTCTCATTCACATTTAAATGGTTGTCAAATGCATAGAAATCTTGTTTGATCTCTGTTGTCAGATATTACTTCTTTTTTTAATTTTTTATTTCTTTTTTAACTGCCAATGTTAAGAATCACTATCGTTATTGTGGTCAGAACATACTGCTTAGAACAATGGGTATACAGACCGGAATCCAGTTCTTCTAATTGAGCAACCATTAATATTTTTCTTGTGCTGTTTGACACTTTTGACAAAGTTATCCAAGCTGTTTCCTATTAAAAAAAGAAATTTATTAAAAAAAATATTTATTAGCTTTATATATATTGAAAATATAAAATATAAAAATATTTTTTAGAAAAGTCTGATTGGTGGATACAAAACAATGACTCCAAAGGACTACCAACCTGAGATCACAACACCAGTAGCAAAGCACGAATTCAATTTGTAGGCGTTAATGGTCATGGTCAAGAAATGAAAATGATAAACATGAAGGAGAAATGAAAAAGAATGATTATGGTCAAGAAATAGTTCCATCTTCAATTTCATAAATGATCATTTTTGACCTTAACTTTTTTTCTTTCTGTCAGTATTGTTCACACACAGATTATATTTATTGGGGGGGAGAACTTTCTAACATTGTTTCACCTGCACTTGCAAGATGCAACTGACCAAATTAAATCAATGCATGCCTTGACTTGAATTCACTCGTTGTTACTGATGTTGGGATGTTTACGTTTGTTGGAAGGCAGAGGGTCTGTATCCCATCTCATTGATTTAGCTGTTAGTTTTTAGATTAAGTTTTTAGATTTTTTTTTTTTTTTTAAGGGTTAAGTTTTTTTTTTTTTTTTTTTTTTTTTTAAGGATTTTTTTTTTTTTAAGGATTTTTTTAAGGATTAAGTTTTTAGAAAGTGAACTGACTATGCCACTATAAACACGCTGAAGGTTGAAGTCTTCAGAAATTGGCATGATATCCATTTGCAAGATTAGTAGATTTTTTTCATTTCCCCTGTCATTCTTGCATAAATATTTCATGTAGGTGAAGCATTTCAGTAAGAGCGAAGAATAAAATAATGACTTTTTTTTTACAGTATTTGAATCGTCGTTGTGTGACAGAGCAAGAATGCAGGGATATGAAAATTCCTCTTGAGCTTGCTCTGGAAGAAGAACCTCATTACTGGAAGCCTTTTAATGGCTCTTTCCCTTCAATGAACCCTACCTGTCTGTTGGATTGCCCTGTGGGCTATGCAGAAGTGCGTCATGATGGGCGTCTTCATTGTGAACATTGTAAAGGTAAGTTGCAATATCGTTGGCGTTGGCTCTTTCCAATTCATTTTTTATTGGGTTGTAGGCCTTTCAGAATGGCTTCTCTCGTCAGCCAGATATTCTTTTCCTCAGCTGTTTTTCATGTGTGTCGGTCTTCCTTTCTTTAGTTTTTCCTAAGGCTTCAGAGAAATAGGAAACTACTCTTGTTTGAACCACGTATGTGTGTTGAATTATTTTTATTGATGACATGTGTTTAACAAATTGGACTTTTTCTTCAACACTTCTTTTGGGTGTACTGACCAGGAATTGAATTTGTGGCCATGTGTACCGAGGATGAATGTGCTATTTTTTTTTCTTCCTTTGCTCTCGCTCATATTTCGTTTCCAATACCTGCCAGTCTTTGTAGTTCATGGCATTAGGACTATATGGACGCTGGGTATCTTCCTGAAGATAGTAGTAGTTGATGGACAGGGTAGGGAAGAGTGGATTGCATACAGTCCAGGACCTATTTGAATTTGAATTTGCCTTATTTTACGTGGTGAGACTCGGGCCATCAGGCCCGCTCTTCCGTCTGACCACGCAAATTTCGCTACGCCCCTTTCACCAACTAGGAAAGAAAGGAGGTATTTCTTGGGGGAGAAACAGGCGATTTGAATTTAGCTCAGAGGCGTCATTTAGGCTTGAGGATCTTTTACATGCAAGTAAATCTACGAACATGGGACAGCCGGCTTTACTTCCCCTCCGAAGGAAGGCGTACGAAGGATTTTTTCGCCCTTAAAAATCCACTGCTTCGATCGGGTTTGAACCCGCCAACTTGGGTACAACAGTCCAGTACGCTAACCGTTACACCATCGCCGCCGCCGCCGCACCTATTTAAACTTTCAACACTGGGCCTAGGTTGGGCATGGTAGCATTCCAACACAAGTGACGTCAAAGGGGCTGTGTTCATCAGCGCGGTAGCAGTAGCGAGCTTAGTGCGCCACTATTGCTACTCAATGGCAATGGAAAAGTCTCCCATGTCAATGTCTGGCTCCCCACAAATAGAGGTGGAACAAACGTGCCATCTGAAGATGGCGTTACGGGGTACTGTTTTGGGTACCTCCTGGAAGTAATCTGAGGAAACTATGCAAACAATTGATCAAAGAAGCCGTTCTCTAGATTTTTCAACCAGGCATTTGCATTTCCTGACCCTAGGTAATTATCTACTGTAGCTTTATAATTTTGGAAGTACAAAATTCCACTTCTAACGTAGAACTCTTAACCTAGGACCTCTACTGGTCTACGAAGATTCAGTTGTGTAATCACTGCTTCAGTTATCTACAATGTGCATTGTATACTAACATGTGATTACTTCAATAAAACTTTAATAATATTCATAAGTGATTGTGAAAGAAAGGAAGAATAATTTAGTTATGCCACAGACATACCATATTTATTCTTTCTGTTCAGTTTTATTCATATAAATCATACAATTCTTTGAAATTTTGAAGAAAAAAATGGTAAATGGGCCAAATGGTAAAAGAACACTGAGCAAGAAGTTATGAGGTATTATGACTTAATTTTGTTGAGTATCATTAATTTTTTATTGGCAGTCTCTCAACAATATTCATCAAATTTCAAAGTTTCTGATTAGATATTAATTTCCTCTTCTTCTTTATTAACTGTCAGCAGATAATATGATTTAATTGGATAGTAGCTGATAAGTTACTCGGGATTGTACTACAGATTTTATTGTTACTTTGTTTTTACTTTTATCAGTCATACAGCCTTGCAGTTCCTCTACATAGGCCACTAACCCATTCAGAACCTTCTTAAAATAGTATTTGTGAAACTTACTGAGTCAGCGTGCATGCAGTGGTCACTAAGACACACAAGCAGTGACGAACTTGGTGGATGCAGATGGTGGGTGCTATGGGACTAGCATGTCAATAGGTCATTGGGTCATGATGTGGCCTTGCACACTTGAACTGGCAGCTTGAAATACTTTAATGTGATGGTGGAGAACAGTTGCGTGACCACCTACTTGTAATTCCATTGGTAGATCCTGTTGTTTTTGTATTATCTTTACTTACGTTAGTTGTGAGAATATCAGTGATTAGGAAGCCATAATTTTAAGTCTATAAAACACTCAAAATTACTCGCAGAGTTTTATTAATTTATTTGCACAGTTAATGATCCAATTAGTGATAAACTGGAGAAAGGAAGTTAGACAAAGAATACAGATCACAAAAATCTAGAAGATGATACAAACTTGTATGCTGATGACCAAACTATCATAGTGGATTCTGAAGATAATTTACAAAGAGCAGTGTTTGAATTGACAAAAGTAGCCTAAGAATATTCCATGAAGATAGCAATTCAGAAAACAAAAGTTATGGTAATACAAGTCAAGGATCCAAGGAGAGCCAAAATAGTAAGAAATGGAAAATTAGTGGAACAAGTAAATACATTGGAACTTTGGAAATATCATAAGTGTATACAACCAAAATCAGGAAGACATAGAAAACAAACTTAATAACTACAATAGAATATATAGAACAATCAAGAGACACTTTGGCAGAGACATGGACCCAGAAACAAAACTGAAACTCCACAATATAGCTGCTAAACCTAGAATCATGTATGGCTCTGTGAAACATGGGTAATGAAAGAGAGAGACAAACAAAAACTACAAGCAGCACACATGAGATTTCTAAGACACCTCATGGCAATCACAAGAAGAGATAGACTAATAAAGACATTAGAAAGAAATTGAAAACCAAATGTTTAGTAGAAAAGTTTCAAAGGGGATGGAAAGATCATTTACAGAGAATTAACAACAACAGATTTCCAAAATTAAGCTGGAAGTACAAACTAACAAGGATCACAGATAGAGGGAGACCAGTAAAGAGGTGGCAACAGCAGGAACACTTAGAAGACTAAGAATCTACCAAGAATACTGTAATAAACCAATGGTAACAGGCCTAATTTCTGGTCAGTTCATCATGATGATGAATTATCCAATTAAAATATTTAATTATCTGTGTTCAAACAGTCCATAATTAATATCATTAATATTATGTTAGTGTTATTAAATTCAATGTCATTCAACACAAACTAATTTGGGACAATTTTAAATGAACACCTTAGTGTATTTATTTTGCTTTACATAGATATAATTGTGTTGTGGCTTCTAAGAACCTGATTTTTTTCTGGTGTGGAAGGGTCGTCCCAGAATATTTCGTCTTGTTCATCAAGAAAGTGAGTTTGTGCAATGAATAAAACAACAGGAATAAATACTACTTCAATCTCTACCTATCTGTAGGAATATGGGGATAAATTTTGTTTGTCGTGAACTCAGCATGAGAAGTGAATTGGATAGTGACTTAACATGTTTTAATGGGGTATGGAAGGTGATAGACTTACTTGTTAACTCTGTTATGTCACCAGAAATCATTTGGTGAAATTAGTACGTTAGAACTTATGGAAAAGTCGGTCATCTGTGAATGATTACACAAGAGAGGTGATTAGTTTGATTAGGTAATAACCAATTTTTGCTGCATTGACCAGATTCTCCAAGTTTCCAGGGAAGTGATGAGCTGCAATATACAAATTCTAATAAGTATTTTAGCAATTGGAAAACAGGATTAATGGGTTAGGGGCAATGGGTTTCATGTGTGTAAAATATTGTTCCTAGGGAAAATGTGTAGGAAAAGTACTAGGTTGACTGTTCATTATATGGGCAATGTGTATGTGGTCTTGTCTGTTTAGTGTATCCTTGAGCCTGTTGTGATAACTGTGTTTGAGCCAATAGTAACAAGCAATGGATAATGAGGAAAAACTTACATCTCAAAGAAATGACTACACTGAATACAAATGTAATAAGGATTACTATCTGCAGCAATTGTTGATAGACTTTAAAAAATATGTAATTTGAGAGACACTGCAGGTTAATGCAATGAAGATTGTTCAGCAAGTTTGGTAATATCATACCTCATTATAGTGTTGCAAGAGACGTTTAGATACCTTTCCTTACTTCTTTCATAATCCCTTCACCAATACAGTGAAGTAAAAAATGTTCACATTAAGATGATTCAATGTTTATTTTATGTTCAATGGAATAGTTTTAAATGTTCACCGTAAATGGACCTTACCAGGAGATGACTCGGTCTGTAAACTTTAAGCATGGTAGTATTATGTAGAAACATTAATGGTTAGATTCTGATCAACAAGCGTTTCTTGAATCATGTTAGAGGGCTAGTATTACTTCATTCCGCTTCATTCTACTATAAACTTTACATGATGCAGCAATAGTGGGCAGTAACAAGGTGCTTTTCAGCTTCTTTTGAACACTTTTGGAAAGTTGATGATATCAATACAGTCGTTCAAAGATTGAGCAGTAGAATTATAACAAGAACAGCGTGCATCTCTTTTATTTCATACTCAACATTTTATCATATATTGGTGGGTAGTCCATTCCTTCGTTGTGTAATGTTATGTGGTTCATTATGTTATATTATGTTTTTGCTGACCCCGAGTTAAAATTTGTTTGTGAAGACCTTGTTTGCAGGCTGTTTCTCTTATCTCAGACATTTGATAACCTTGAATAGAAACCTTGTGTTACTCTTATCTCCGTAATCTAATTAATAGTGAACATGTCTTCAATTGGAGCAACATATGCTGTGCTCTAACTGCTGTGTATATATAAAAATTAATGAAATGAAAAAAAAATTAGGGGGGTGGGTGCACGCTTTTGAAGAGGTAGGATGTTGCTAATATTTAAAGTATGCTAAATGCACGAATGGAGAGAGTATGCTATAGTGCCTTCTGTAATACAACACGTGAAATGGGAACAGATTTTCACCATTCACATAATTACGTATTGAGTTATTTCTGGAAAGGTGTGTACTTCTAGTCCAGGCCTGCACAGCATTTTGCTCCTTTGCTGACCTTGAGAATCATGTTTGAGCCACTCTAGAGCAAATCCAGAAATCGAAGAAGGGTGGGGAAGAGACTCATTCTAGGAGTAAGGACCACCAATGAGAATG